CCGACCTCCCCTGGCTGTTAACCACAAATCAACAACTTAACACGAATGCTTGCCCTAGGTGGCCTCCCAAACACATGCAGCGGTACATGGTCGTCGAACACCTGGAACTATTTTCGGCTATGCAAGTCAACGAACCCAGGCTACTTCCCGACCACCTAGACAAACAACGTTCAGGGTGAGCTTTCATCAGTGTTTGCACAGGAACCGCTGAAAGCTGACCGGCCGCTCCCCTCATTCTGATGGAACTGTTTTGGGCTATCGCCTCGTGGCCAGTCGATTAGAACTCTACCGAAGAGATCTGAGTGCTTTTTGAATATATTGGGTGCTCAGATCAGAGCTATTTAGGTATATCTGAATTGTGGGGTTCCTTTGAATAATGACTATGTTCTGGGTGTTCTGTATATATGTTGTATATTTTCCTGTACCTGAGAGACAATTGAGTTACTCAGTTTTGACTGAGAGGGGCTTTTGTATGTTTTGTATGGAGACCGCATGCTGGGGGTCTGTATAGGAAAAAGGCTGTGTTTGAGAGAAATAAATAGGTTGTACTCCCAGAACTGTGTTTCGTCCAGTTACACTTCAGCGCTTGTTCCAGAGTTCCAGGCCTCAAGGATCCAGATGAGGAAAAGTCCTTGTCAGGACTAGTACTCCACTACAGTCACCTCCCTGCAACCAAAAGATATGGAAGCAGGGGGGTGATTAACAATATGCAAATTGGAATTTGTTTTTGTTTATGTGTAGGTATGTGTGTATTTGTGTGTGCCAGTGTGTGTTTGCATAGGTATGTGTGTGTATCTCAATGTGTGCCAGTGTGTGTATGTGTAGGTATGTGAGTGGATCTGTGTGTGTGTGTCAGTGCAAATCTGTGTGTATGCGTGTGTGTATGTGCCTCTATATATATATGCATGAGTGTCCGCGGGGGCAAGAGTGGGCACTTCAGCTTGTGATGCTATTTTTGGTTTGTGTGAGAATACACTGCAATACTGGCGCCGGCCAGTAGGTGGTGCTGTGAATGTTAAAAGGCAGAAAGCTACAGCTTATCCCTGCCTCTCGCTCATGACTGAAACCGCAGGGGAGCATCACAGAGGCAGCCTACAGAGCAGGTAAGTGAGGGATGGGGGGGCACTATTTACCCCCTCACTATCACCCC